TGAATATTCACTGCACCGGGTGACCCGAATACTAGTTAAGCCCTAGAAAAATGCTACGACTGATTTTACACCAACTGTTCGTCAACTTTTCATTCACAATAACCCTCAAAGCTCCCGGCCCAGAAGCCGGCAGCAGATAGCGAAGGCAGAATTGAAATCAGCCTTTCAAGCTCTATAAGATGGTATTACTCTCTTTTCAAAAGGCCTCTTCGACCAACCTTCCTTCCCTTGTTGGGTAAAATCTACGGGCATCCTCAAGCTTTAGGATTGAGTATTGTATATTTACATTGGATTGTAGCGGGAAAAAAATTAAAAATTACAGTGTTTGAAAAGTCGTTTTTAATCATAGAGTGTTTGAACGACTCGTTCTTTCAGACTGGAAGTGTATTTTTGTTAACGGGCAAACTGGAAACCTTTACTGCCCATTTCAGGCTAGACTATGGTGGTCCTTCCCGAGAATTATTCTACTTGTTATCACGAGAACTATTCAACCCTTATTATGGTCTCTTCGAATACTCTGCTCCAAATCAGTACACTGTACAAATCAGTCCTCATTCACATCTTGTACAACAGGAAATGCAATGGTGAGCTGCGTGGATGCCGTACCTCGACCTAACATTGTATTTTTAGGATGGAGCTGGCTGGACGAGTGCTTGGATTAGCGTTATTGCATCGATGTCTTATTGATACGTTCTTCACTAGAACATTCTACAAGATGTTACTGGAACAGTGAGTTCACAGAAAAACACTTGCCTTATTTACAAATATTGTGGGTGAGATAGGAAAAAGATCCCTAAGAAAACAAAGGAAGTGAGGGGCGATAAGAAACTGATCTTCGTTAGATCAGACTCATTATCTCGTAATCTCTCGCAATCCGTGGAACTAGCTTCTTTCGTATTCAGCTAAATATACCTCTTTGATTTTTCAAATTGTTTTCTAGGCCAGTCACTTTGCATGACCTACAAGATGTGGATTCAGAGTTCTATCGTAGCATGTTGTGGATTCGGGAAAATCCAGTGGATCCATCATTAGGCATGACATTCGTAGTTACTGAGGAGGAAAATGGACAAGTAGAGCTTTTTCGAAAAAATTTAAAAATCCTAATTCCGTGACATTAAGGTGGTGGAAAAAGAATTGCTGCCGAATGGCGGTACCCTTGAAGTTGCTGATAGCAATAAGGAGGAATTCATCTCTTTGATGGTCAAATGGCGAATTGAGAGGGGAATTCAGAGGCAGTCACAAGCACTTTTGAGAGGCTTGCATCAGGTTAGTTACCCAATCCAGGTTACA